AAAAAAAAAAAAAAAAAAAAAGGAAAACATTGGAAATCGGCAGCAGCAGGAAACATCGATCGGTGCATCTCCAGCAACGATCAGTTAGCATCCTTTAGCATCAGCTCATCCAACAACATTCTTCTACATTTCTTTGGTTTGTCATGACACCGACACTGTGGATACAGAAAATAGTTCACACACACACACACACACACACACACACCTAATGCAAAGCCACAGTCAGAAAAAGAAAAGTGACTGTAATCCAGCGATCGGGCACCTGTCCTTGCTGCGCAGCCGCCATGTTTGTACTGACGTGTAAAATATGCCATGTCATACTCTGTGGTTTCCATGACAACACACACACACACTCGATGCTCTCCGGTTTCTTTGAGAGCAACCGCTGCCTGATTCTGTCGGTCAACGTGAACGAACCGACGTCGACGCGCCTCGGATCGAAAGCTGAAGTCAAAGAGGCGACGCCCGCCTGACCTTTGACCTGCGTCAGGACCGCCCGCCTGACCTTTGACCTGCGTCAGGCCGAGTTAATACCTCAGTTTCTCATTCTTCTTAGGGACTGTAAACATTTGTAAAGGAATGTAACTGTAAAAACAAAAAAAGACAAAGTGTTACCCTGTTGTCCCCGTTTTCTCCTTCGGTCGTGGACGTGTTCCCGTTTTTTCCAAACCATATTTATTTGGATTTTCCCACTTTGAAGGGAAAAGGAGGAAAAATTTCAAATGGTGCAAAATATTTGGTCTGGTTGTCCTGATGAGTCCGATCGGCTTCGGTCTGGTTTGTCAGGCAACCGCCAACCAGATTTTATAAATCTTTAGTCAGTGCTTTATATATTAAGCCATAGGAAACAGTATGGAGGGTCAAAAGGGTCACAATTTTTTATTTAAATTATTAAATTATTTATTTCAGATGCTGAATGGAATTGGAAATAAACATTTTAAATAGATAAATCTATTCCTCATCATTTATATGATGGAAAAGTCACTAAAATTCAAGAATTATTACAAATAAATTGATTTATTCAGTTATTTAATGAATAACTGAACGGTTCAATTTTTTAGATACCAAAAAATATTAGTTTCAATTATTTATTCCCACATTTAAATATTAAATTCCCTTTTGATTCACTTAATAATTAATTGATTTGTTTGTGTAATATATTTATTTCCAGTTTTTAAAGTGCAGACAGATGAATAATAATCTAAATTATCTTACATATTTATGTGATTCTGGGGCTTTTTTTCCCGTCATACGGCCGATGAGGACGAAACGCTTGTTGGTTTGAAACTTTGTAGAAATGTGTGAATGCGTGGACGTTTGATCAATTATGTGAAATTGTTCTGATTTGTTCAAACCTCTGAGATGCTTTCATGTAGCTGAACTCGTTTTGTTTACTTCCTGTTCATAGAGTAGCAGCATTACTTAGCAAGCGCCCACGCCTCCAAGTTGCCCCTACGCTACGCCTGAATGCAGCTTCGCTAACAACAAACTGGAAATACTCAAGTTTCTGATGGTCGTAACATTTACTGAATGCTTCTGGATAATTTAGTCCAAAAGCTGCTTAAAGGGATTTTATTTAATGTATTTTTGGGTTTGAAAGTCATGAAACTGTCAGCAGGAACAGGAAGCGTCTCATCAGAGGCGGACGGTTCGAAGCAGCTTCAATAAGCCATTTTCAGATCAACTTCAACAGGAAGAGAGAGAGAACGGCCAATATTTGGCAGTGATCGATCTTTGAAACTTATCGGGAAGTGTTAAACTGAAGGCCTGTTGGTGAATGCCTGTTAGCCTGTTATGAAGTTAGCCTGTTATGAGGTTAGCCTGTTATGAAGTTAGCCTGTTATGAGGTTAGCCTGTTATGAGGTTAGCCTGTTAGCTTGTAATGAGGTTCATGTGCCTCTTTAGTCTAAGATTCAGTGGAACCAGAAGGAAAAGGGCTAGTCGGTGGATCTGCACAATAACTGTGAACTCAACGCCGCCTGTAGCTTTTTGTTAGCAGAAAAAATCTCACGGCTAAAACTGACAGAAACTGAGCCTAAAATCAAAATATCTTCAGATTAATCTGAACATTTAGTTCTGGGTTTTTAATTTTTCTGTTGCTGTTTCCAAAAAAAGCTATTCTAGAATCTGTATTTAATATCCCGATGCCAAACCGTCTCATGCCTTCTTATAGAAAAGCCCAGAAAAAGACGGAGGCGAAGTTTAATTTGTGATTTGGCGACTGATTCGCTCAACATATGCGACAGCAAATTAGGGCCATTTCTAATAAAAAAAATAAAAGTAGAAAAAACTCTGAAATTTGTAGATTAATATCTGAAATTTTCAAGAAAAAGCAAAAAAAAATTCTTAATTCGAAAAGTCAAAAATTTTCAATAAACTCAGAAATGAAAAAACAACTTGGAAATTTCTGAGTTTGAAAAGTTGAAAATTTGCGAGAAAAACTCAGAAATTTTTAGATCTCAGAATTTTGGAGAGTTTTTTTCCCTAGAAATTTACTTTTTTGATGTGCAATGTCGCGCCTGCGCCGTGGTTCTCCATAATCCTGTTCTGAATCTGTCGTTAGCCGTAGCGGATGTTAGCCGTAGCGGACGTTAGCCGTAGCGCTAACATTTGTAGCTGCTCTGTGCCAACAAGCCGCGCCAGGTTGCCTTTTCTTAGCGTTTGGTTCTGAGGTGTAGGTGACTCAGTGCAGGACTATTGTTCAGGCTTCTGCAGCTCCTGAAATGAAATGCAAACATTTAAAATCTGCTAAACAGCTTCTTTAACGTTTTCGACTGACAGTGCTTCATTTCCCACCAAAGTATCCACCATCAGGTCTCATTTAGATGCAGTTTGAATCACAAAATTAGCATCAAGGTAAACAAAGCAACTCTTGTTTTTAAAAGTTGGAGGTTTTCTGCTTTTTACCATCTTCCTTTTCCAGCTTCTTGGTTTGCTGCAGATTATTCACATGTTCACAGCAACTGAGCAACTGTTGGCCATGCAAAATAAAAAAATAAAAACTTTTCTGAGATTAGCCAGACAACGTCATGCCTGCGCTGCTGTGGTAGTTTTTCATGAGCTGCTTTCTTGTATCGATAAAATGGTGCCAAGCTTACGAGGCTCAATCTCTCCCACCAGAGAAGAGGTCGTGCCCAAACAGCGTTTACAAAAAAAGGAAGAAGAAGAAGAAGAAGCTATTTTTCTCTGGGTCAAAACTAAAGGAAAACTAAATTTACTAGTGGATAATTTATATCCAAATCCTCATGAATTACTTCACAAACTATTGTACTTTTTAAATGTTCAGAATGGAACCATTTTATATTGTATATATATGAATATATTTTGTTTTACTTTGTACTGTTCATTGTACTTTGCTTTAATTTAGAAACAATATAAATAAAGAATAATACTGTGGCCACATGGTGCTGCTGATCTTTAATTTTCTCATTTTTACCAAGTGAATCTTAAACATACACTTCCTGTCATTAATTTCAGTTAGAAACTGACTTTTATAAGTGAATAATATTGTGAAAATGTGGATTTTGGAAAATGAATCCCCCTTTTCTTCCTCTTGTATCAGGCTAAATAACTAATTTACTGACTAACTTCAGCGTCGCCGTGTTTTAAGCAGTTTTAAGTTTCTTGGCGGGCCTCTGGTCGCAGTCTGAGCTCTGCGAGTCGCCGCCCTTCAGGTCCTCCAGAACAGGAAGCTGCAGCTTGGTCGCCGTCGCCATCGCCCACAAACACATTTCCAGCCTGTGGGGCGTCCAGTCCTGCTGCGGATCCACTGAGAGCAGAAAGCAAAGCCACAGATCTCCATCTGGTCTTCAACAGACCCTCGGCTGCCGGGCGTCGCCTCACCTGCGTTTAGTTTGGCAGCCTGGGCGGCCATTCTGTCCAGGTAGAGCGCGTAGTGCTTGGCGGTGTACTGGACGGGCTGCAGCCCGGGGACGCTCTCCGCCGCTTCATCAGACATGAACGCAGTCAGAGCCGGAGCCGCTGCTGCCAACACGGCTGCAACAAAACACAACGTCACTTTCGCAGAAATATACGGGGTTTTCTGCAACATTCCTGAAATTAATTTCAAATTTTCTTTTCTTTTTCTAGCAAATTTTTGACTTTTCAAACTGAATTGTTCTTGGGGCGGGAGGAGGGTTCGAGAAAATCTGTGGTTTCAAATTCAGGAATTTCCCTCTTTTTTATGAATTTTCTAAAATTTTCAGGATTCAAATACAGATTTCTGAGATTTTTCTGGCAAAATTTCTGACTTTTCTAATTCAAATTTTCTGACTTTTCTAATTCAAATTTTCTGACTTTTCTAACTCAAATTTTCTTATCTTTTACAGAAAGTTTGAGTTGTTTTTTGTTTTTGTTTTTTAAAGAAATGTGACTTCAAATTTAGTGATTTTCTGGTTTTTACAGAACATTTGAGATTTTCTAGTATTTTTAACTTTTTTTCTAGAAAATGTTTTTCTGTGTTTTTCTGAGATGTTTACAAATTAGTGACTCTTATCTAACTTCTGAGATTTTTCTAAGAAATTTTCAACTTTTAAAACGTAGAAATTTAGTTGTTTTTTATAGAAAATGTTAGATTTTTCAAACAAACTGAACTATTCAAATTCAGAAATTTCCTTGTTTGTTCTACACAATATTTAGGATTTTCCTGTGGAATTTAATTCCTTTTATTGCTTTTTTAATACCTACATCAACTCTAATATGCTGCTGTGCGTCTCTGTGTAGAAGGTTGTAGTTTGATGTTTGGTTTTATGATTTCATCTTTGAAAGATGTTGAACAGATAAAGTTTTACTTCCTTGCTTGCAGACTGAGCCGTGTGCAGCGTTAAGAGGGCGAAGCGCTCCTCCGTCTGACGGTTGAGCGAGACTCTGTGAACTTATTGGAAAATCAATCACCCAGACTACCAGCCATCGCTGTGAAATATTGAGCTGTCCGCTGTGATTTACCACTGCTGTATTCATGCAGAGGGGAGTGAGAAGACGGCAACCTGAGGCGGTGGCGGGGCCGACGCCCTTCAGGCCGCTGAGCTCAGCGACGGCCGCCGGAACGTCGGGCAGGAGGCCCAACGCCGTTCTGGAGCGTTTCTGGACGGCGTCCTCGGCGTTGGAGGCCGCCAGCTGCTGCAGCCTCGGCCTGAACTTCCCCCTCTGGACGGACACAGGAGACACGCCGCCTTCACATTACGAATGACAGCAAAACGTCGTCTGTATTACACTAGCAAATGCCAAAATGTCAACTTGGCCAATTCTACGGTCAGCGGAAACGCAGCTGCTGTGATTATTGCAGACGAGAGTTGCTGAGTCTCTAATTGAGATTATGAAAATTAATGCACAAATTTCCCAAAAACTCACATTTTTGATGGAAGGTTTTCTGCACTAGCATGACGTGGGTTTATTTCACAGAACTACAATGGAAACAACAGGGCGTTACTGCTGCCGGAAACTACAAAGAAGATGACAGGAAGTGGTAGGATGGCGATATTTTCTAGTGACTTATACCTGAACAAACATTCACGTGATTTTAATTTCATTTCTTATTTAGTGGAAACACAGCAGTGGAGAAATTGTATTTTTCCAACATCAGCAGAAAAAGTTTTGTGTACATATGTAATGGAAACAGCTAGCGGGGTTAGCACTTACCGTTAGCTTCCACTCCATTAGCTTCTTCAGCTCGGACAGAGTGATGTGTTTGTCGGGTCGACTCGAAATCAGCACCGGCAAATCCTCCTGGTACCTGATCAGACAGCGAGCCTTAATGCTGCAGGATGTAACTTATATAAAAGATGCTTTTTCTTTATCATGTTTGTTGAAACTGTCACCATGTTGTGACAGTTTGATATGAGACGGATAATTTAGGAGCTTGAAAAGTCAATAGTTGGATAGGAATAAAAACACAGACACTTTGAGATTAATTTCAGAAATTTTCTAGAAAAAACATGGAAATATCCGAGTTTCAAGTGAAAAAATTCAGACTTTTGAAACTCAAAATTTCTGGTGTTTTTTTTCTAGAAAATATTTTTACACTAATCCCAAATTTCTGAGTTTAATCTAGCAAAATTTCAGCCTTTCAACTTCATAAATGTCCTTCTTTGTCTACAAGATCTCTGAAAATAATCTCAAAATTATTTTATTTATTTTTCTAGGAAATCTTTGACTTTTCAAAGTCACAAAATTCTTTTTTTTTTTATTCTAAAAGTAATCTCAAAATTTCAATTTTCTTTTCTAGCTAAATTTTGACTTTTCAAACTCCCAAGATTCTTGGTTTTTTTTTATAGAAACTTTCTAAGATTAATTCTAAATTTATTCACATTTTTCTACCAAATATTTGACTTTTGAGACTCAGAAATTACTTTTTTTTTCCCTTGAAAATTTCTAAGATTGATCTAGAGAAAATTTCTGAGATTAATCTAAACCTTTCTTACATTTTAGCGGAAATTTACTCGCCAATAAAGAAAGTGGCTTTCTTTAATGGCTGATACGGCTTTATGTTAACCGAAATTACCATTTGTCAAGCTGCAGTAGCTTCGGCTTCTTGGCTTTGGCCGTGGCCTCCACCACATCCCAGTACTTCTCGTAAACTCTCCTCCATACTTCCGCTTCCCCGCAGCCGAACAGGGCGGCCATATTGGAGAGGTCACGGCTTCAACTAAAAATCACAGCAGAAGGATGTTTGCTTAAACTTTCAACATAAAGCACAATAAAAACACATGAATTCAACTGAAATCATCTCAATCAGATTCTTGTTCTTCTGTATGTTTTGTTGGCAGTTTACAATCGCAGTGTTTTACCGCCATCTGCTGGACAGAAGGCGTAATCCATTAAATAGAAACTTTAAATGTTAAACTTACAACAAAAAAACAAAAACATAATGTAGTATCTCAATAAATGTTGTATCCTTTCAGCACTTTATTAGTCCATTAACTGTTGAAGATAATTCAGATGTACTTAATATATTGATTATAGTTATTGGAAGTCTTATTCTATGTAAATTGATTATTAACCAACATATCTTATGTGAATTGACTTTAATTTGATAAAATACAATGTCTGTTACTGGTTTTCATAGTTGTTGACTGTAAGATGTGTTTATAGTATTGTTATGCTTTCATGATGTAAAGCACTTTGAACTGCCTTGATGCTGAAACGTGCTATTCTAATAAATAAACTTGATTGATTGATATTCTCTTGTGAATTTTCTATCAATCAATCAATCAAATTTTATTTGTATAGCACATTTCAGCTGCAAGGCATTTCAAAGTGCTTTACATAATTAAAATAAAAACAGCATGTGACATTGAATAAACAGTGAGAAAGAGAAAGACATTTTGAGAAAAAAAAGATTAAAAAAGATGAAAACATTAAAACCTGCTCCCCTTTTAAGACTTCAGTTAAACGCCGTTTAACTGGGACTCTAACCCTCTGGGAATTTAGTCAAAAGCACCGTTTGACAAGGACTCCAACCTCTAGAACTTTAGGAATTTTAAAATTCACTTACGTTTCTGTTGTTATTGTGTCAATTTAAACGCCGTCAACTGGGACTCTAAACCCTGAAGGACTTTAGTTAAACGTCGTTTAACTGGGACGTTTTCCAGGGGGCTTTACATCATTAAAATGTAAACAGTGAGAAAGAAATAAAAAGAAATTAATAAATAGATAAAAAGTAAAGATAAAAACATCGAAGACATCAAAACCCATTCTAACCCTAATTTAGCCATAAGCAACACTAAGCAGGTGGGTTTTAAGTTTAGATTTAAAGGCACTCAGTGTTTCAGCTGTTTTACAGTTTTCTGGAAGTTTGTTCCAAATTTTTGGTGTATAGAAACTGAATGCTGCTTCTCCTCGTTTGGTTCTGGTTCTGAATGCAGATGGATCTAGACAGTTGGTACAGCAATAACAGGTCTTTAATGTATTGTGGTGCTAAACCATTCAGTGATTTATAAACTAACAACAGTATTTTAAAGTCTATCCTCTGAGCTACAGGGAGC